AAAAAAAAATCATCTTTCACTGAGGAAGAATAGCTTATTAGAGGCATTTCTTTTGCATTGGACTTTCTGCTACACTGAAGCTATTTCTTCTCAGCTTAAGCTTGTTAAAATGCTAACTGCTAGTTTCAAAATTTTGTTGGAGCAATTGGAGTCTCAGTAGTAATAAAGCCTGTGGTAAAAGCAAGGCATAGGTCTGTTTTATGTAAGAACTATGTGGCATTTCAGGAGTTTTGATTTGCATTATTTTATTAAAACTTCATTTCTTCTAATTCTGTACTAAAAAAGTATCTGTTAGCTACTGGTAGGTTGAGCGTAGTGTACTACTTGCGTTTGATTTCTTTATCCTCTTCATCATTCTTCATTTTTTGTCCTCTTCTGATATTTGAAGTTGTGTTGTGTGCAAATTATTTTCTTGTATTTATTTTATGAGATAGCCTTGAGAAATTTAAAAGAGCTTTTCACTTGATAAAATATTAATGTATTTTTGACAGATTTGCTTTTGTTGCAGAGACGCTTTTTGGCCCAATGGCATTTTAGCAGAAACTGTTCCACGGAGGGACAAAGCTATTAGAATGAGAACAAGAGTGGCAGGGAAAACCAAATTGCTGGAGGTAATGCCAGGTAAGTGAGTCTGGGATTAAAGCCTCATAATCCATATGGATACATTGTTACTGAAACTGATGTCAGTATTCTTGCTGATTGTTTTAAGTACTGCAGAGAAACCTTGATATATGAACAGTATTTAAATAAAAAGGTTTCTAATTATTAAAGTATTGGACATTTTCACATGTAATGTCAGTAATTCTCTTAGAGCCACCCCAGCATTAAGTTTCTAGAGGATTAAGTTGTGCCTGAAATGGGTATATTCCAAACCAGTACTATTTCTTGCAAATATGATTCCCACATGTATAGGGTAAGAGTGAAGTAATGCTTTCTTCTGTAAGAGAACTTTTGGTTTAGTCATGTTGTGTAGAGTCACTGTTACCTTGAATTTCAGGCTACGTAGTTTGAAAGACTTAATATTTAGTTTAAGTCTGTTGTTAACATGATAGTAGAATTTAGCTTAAACTTCTGTGGGACTTCTCTTTTTGTAGATGAAATGAAGCACATCATAGGTGCTGAGACTACACGGAAAGGCATTCTTCGGGTCTTCGAAATGTTCCAGCATAGTCAGCTGAATAAGAGAATGGTGTATGTGTTTCTGGAGAGATTCCTAGAAACCTTATTTCCACAAAATAAGTTCCCTGAGTTGTTCCACAAACTGCATTCAAGGTCAAAGCAAATGCAGAGATATAAGCAGAGACTACACTCTACTCAAGCGCCTTCCTTACAGAAAAGGTGACACTTCAAATCCATTAAGCTGGTGTTTGTTTGTCCAGGATTAATTACTTGGGCAGATTCTCTGGGGCTTCAAACTCACATGCCGTCATTTCTGCACCAGTCTTCTAGTGTCACATATTAGATTATTAATGCATCTGTAAGACCTGTGGATCTTCTCATCTTCACTTGTAGTTCAACCACGACCAGAATGGTTTGTGTGTCTTAAATGATTTGGTGCGTCTTCATACAACATAGGGAAGAGAACTGGCCCAGTATATCAGAATGCCCATCCCTTCCGTTCCTGAGTCAATGTTTTGCCAGCAATGCAAAGAGCCAGACTGTTCAAGTAAAGCACAACTATGGTGATACAATTGAAGAAAAGAGTATTTTGGCACTGGGAGATAGTGCAATGTGTGAGAAATGGAATTGTTCAGCGTTACAAGTGTTGAGGCCTGTAGGGCTGTTGTAACATTCCTGTAAAGGCTGAATTAACCAGAAAAGCAGTCTGTGGAATTACTATAACCTAATGGTTGATAGGAGCAGGGAGAAAAAGCTATAGCCCCATCATAAAAGTACATTTATTGAGTAAAAGTGGAGGTAAGGTGGCTTTTATGCCATATTTGCATCATCTTTCATATTTTGAAAATTAAACTAACCTTATATCTAATGGGGGTTTTAGTAAAAGCAGAGGTGCAGTAGAAACAAACCCTTTATTTTGATTATTCTGTAGTGTTTAAGGGCCATATGCTGCTCTTACAGCACCTGGCATACATTTTGCATGTAACTTCAGTGGAGAAGAAGCATCATATTTATGTTCAATTGGTCTATTGGAACATAAGTCAAGTTGGTAGTTGTAGAAAGAAAGGAATATATGTTTCAAAGAGGATAGATATTATGTTAGAAGATGAGGAAATTGCACTAAGGCACAGTTTAGACACAACTTCCCACTAAAATCTGGAGCATTTTTGGGATGTGAAAGAACTATGTCCTACCTAATTGAAAGATTCCGTACCTTTTAGTGTGTATGCCTCATATGGAAAAATGCTAGAATTACTTGGTTCCTCACAGGTAAAAGATTTCATTAGTCATATGCAAACACTTGGAAATTTCTGAATGCATCTCAGTGTATATATGAAAATAAAAAGGAAATAAAACTACAATATTTTTTTAAATAATTTTTTTATTTTTTGCATAGTGTAAAATTTTAATAAAAATTTGACATCAAGGCCCCACATCCATCTGTTTAGTTTCATGGAAGAAGTTCTGTCCAAGTAAAAATACAGTAACATTTGAATAATCCTGTTTGGCCACAGCATATCTCAGTTTGTGTTTTCTTTTTCATAGTCCCCAACTGTTTGAGCACTGCTATCTTGAGTGAATAGAAGGTAATCTTTTAGAGTCCCTTTTATTTCTGAACACTAAACACAGGGTAAAATACAGTTATGGATCAAGGATCCCTGGATCCTTGTTGTAATTTGTGTCTTAATGGGAGCAAATGGTCCTTTCATGCAAGAGAGAAACATAGACCTTTGATGAAAGCATTCTGAGACAAGATAGAAGGCTCTCAAAGGACCTCGTTAAATTGACTGACACTTCTATATAGATATTTTTTTCTCATGGACTCTATTAATGAAATGTAGCCTTTTATCATACTCCTTAATGATGATCATATTGTACCATTAACATTCTCATACAGTATGCATGGGCTCAAGTGCACTTGTTTTTTTCTTTATTGCAGAACTAAATGCTGTAAATTAAATCCCTTTCTTTTGTAATCCCTAGGAAGATAACTTGATAAATATAGAAGAACCCCTCTCCCTTCCTCTCTGCAGGTTCTGTGGAAGTGTGATGGTTAAATGCTTTTGAATTTAACAAAATTCTTGAGTTCTGTGTGAAGTAATCAACATAGCCAGCTCCTATTGTTTACATGCCTGTATCTTCCTCTGTGAGGGTGCTCACGCATAACTGATATCTGACTGATGAAAGATCATTCAGCAGTTGTTCTTGGTGATACAGTAAATATCTCATTAATCCTACCAAATCTAATTTGTCTTTTAAGTCACTGAATTTGTTAAGCAGTATGAAAGTGGGAAGTTCAAATACTGTTTTGTCAAATCTGTGGAACCTTTTATCTATCTGTAGGTACTATGAAAAATTCCAACAAGATAGTGGTAATATACAAAATTGGCTTTTTTTTTTTTTTTTTTTTTTTTTTTTTTTTTTTTTTTTTACTTTTTGGTTATCTGGTACATTTCTGTGCAAAAAAAATAATATCTCTAGGAATGTGAACTAAACATAATACACCATACTTATTAGTCATTTTACTTAATTTATTGCATATACCTATACACACATTTATATACGCATGTGTGCATACGTATATATGTATTGGAGTTTTATCTTCTGTATTTAATTACAGAATGTGGCTTTCTAATTCAGTGGTGCCTGTTGGCTGGCAAGAACCCTCAGAAATGAGTACTTTTTGTTAGAGCGAGTGTGTATGTATCTTTGTTTAAAAGGTTTTCCTGTCGACAATTTGAAGTACCCAGGCTGTCAACCCATGCAGCCTATTATCCTAGGAAGTCTCCAAAACTGAATGTTAATATACAGCACTTCAGTGTCTGGGTATATCTTCTGGCCTTTAGGTGCTGTGACTGGCCACTGAAAATTGTGCCACTGTCAAGAAATGCACTTGTTTTAGCCTTAATTATTTTTAAGATAAAATGAGCAATTGAATTTTCATTTGGTTCATCCGCAAGCTTGTGCTGCTGGTGTTTGCTAGAATTAAACAGTTAATTTTAAGTGCTACCAGAATGTGTACCAAAATGAAACTATATAAATTCCACAATCTAAATTTTAATTCTGTGCAATATTTTCATTTAATGCATGTGTATTTGAATAGCTGTAAAATAAATGAATTTTTAATGTTTTGAAGTCTAAGTTAAAAATGTCTTCTCAGGTGAACAATTCTACATTCTGTTGTTACTTTAGTTTATTTAAGGACTTGTTTTAAAAGTCTTACTTGTTACTCCTTTGTTAATTCCTTTGTTCTCAATGATCCTTGCTCTCGTGAGCAAAGCTCATGTATTACAAGGGAAGAATCTGAAGAATACATCTCATAAACTCATAAAGCTGTTATAAATTACTTGTGCATATCATTGTACAGTAAGTGTCAGCTGTGTGCCTAATTGTTCTATTGATGCTTTTCCCCTCCCCTCCCCTCCTCTCGTTTCTGTAACAAAGAATGAACATGAAATGGGCTGCCATGGTCACTTCTGCTGAATGGCAGAGGACTCTGAATTTTTTTTGGAGTTTGCATTTATGTTCTGTCCAATAGAAAGCTAAAAAATTACACTAATAAAGTATTAACAGGATTAGTATGAGTCTCCATTTTTTTTTTTTCAAACAACTTCCTCACTAGCAGGTACGAAAGGTCACTAAAGATAAAACTTACTGTCTAAATAAAACAACCATTCTTTGAATTTTTAAATGTTTTATAAACCGAGTTTACTTCTTAACAAATTAATCTCTACATTCATTTTTGATCAGTGTTTGCAGAGAGTACTGTATTTTAAAAATAAGCAGAAACAATGGGATTGTATGATGTAAGAGGGGTTTATGTTGCAGGTTTTTTTAAATCTTCAGCTCTTTCCCCCGGGTTTATTTTTGCAGCAGCTGGGTCTACCATGGGATCACAATTATTACCCTTGATATGTTTATTCCAGCTGTTTCACATTCATCAAAAAGATGTCCTGAGCTAGAGAGATGTTGGTTCTTTGACCCCTGAGTAAAGTGTTTACCACTTTTGCTACAGGATACAGACACATACCAGGAATTTTACTGATTGGAAGTTCTAATTTGTTGAACCTGTTATCCTAGGGTAATTTCATGGCAAAAGTACACTCCTTTATAAGCTTGGAGTGTAAGCATTTTTAAAAAGCATCTTAAAAATATCTACCCTTTGCTAACTGGGGGTTATATGTGTCTATGGCTTATTTAAATCTTCAGTCTATCACATTACTTAACTTTGGTTTTGATGTCTAATGCAGTGCGATTGCTGAAGTTTATTTGGAGTTCAGTCGTAGCATCAGTCTTACTTGACATGACAGAAATTCTATTATTTATCTCTTGAAAGAAGAGAATTTATGAAAACAGTTCATTTTTCTTGTGTATTTCAAAAGAAACTAAGCTTTAGTAAACACTTGAAACATGTACAGCACTACAGTGTGTCCTTCCCCAAAATACATTTGACTATTGTATTCAGAGGTCTCAAATAACTGTTTCCCAGAGATTTGAAATACTTGCCATGTCTCTGAATTACTATGGCATGTTTGGCTTGGGGTAATCTGCATGGGTCAGTTAAATAATTTGATACTTGGTTCAGCAAGGGCTAACTAGAATTCTCATTTGGCATATTAGAACTGGACTAGTCTGCAAATTAATTCTGAAGTTGGGTTTAAACACAGAACAAGATTATATTGAATTTGTTGCCAATAAGGAATGTAGATTTCAAAAATTGTACTTTTCTTTCTAACCATAACACTTTAAAAACATTATTCCAAGGTAGTCTTTAGAGATGTTTGTGCTGAATTTTCTCAGCTTGAGCTCTGAAAACCTGTTAATTCTGAATTGAGAGGTAACAATGAAATTTTTGGGAGTTTTAGGTAAGAGATTATCAAAATTATTTGAATTGGGAACATTCTTCATTTGCAGCATGTGGAAGAATATGGTTCTGCAAGTTACCTGGTAATTCCAGGCACAGAATAGCCAGAACTTTCACTTTGTTGGTTCTTATTCTTAACATAGCCAGTCTGTATTAGGGTAAGTACAAAACTGCGGATGGCAGGTTTGTTATTTTTTTTCAGTGTGATGGTGAAGTTGGAACTTGATTATCAAAGGAATGTTTGTTTTTTTTCAAGAACTTCATACAAAGCATTCCTTTATAGTATGTTGAAAAAAATGGTTTCACATCTTACTCAATTCTATGTTATCTATGTTGATCTAAAACACTGGTTTCCCATTAATCCCAAACATCATTTCTGCAAACCAACAAGACTTGCTTATGTCTAATGTAAAAACACGAGTATCTGGAGCAAATAAGAGGTAAGATCTCCACACAATGTTCTTCTGTCTTGTGGAGTTGTATCAGTGCAAAAGTGAAACTGGGATGTCATGCATTTGGAAATTCACCAGTTTTGCTGACTTTGTGCAGTGCCATGTAAAGGAAAATGCACTCATGGTTCTCCTGTGGATCTCAAGGAAAAGTATTTTAGTTTTGTAATTATTGCATGTGGGTTTTAAGTGTTGCTGAGGCTAGTGGTGGGTAGCTGTAAGTGCCCCAATGTGCTGGAGCCTCACTGTTCTGCTCATGAGGGATGTGTAGCCAGTAGAAATGTGTTAATGACAGGGGTTCTGTAGAACCAACACATGGGGCTGTCACCACTGAAAGAACTTGCTGAAGCACCTGAGTTGTTCCACACAGAAACATTTGTGCTGTTCTACTTGATATGAAATCCATCCTTTTTTACTTTCTGTCAATGGTATTGCTATTGCCAAGAATATTGTGGTCTCTAGAGGGTGTCATCCTGAGCCTAAGGAGTGTAGTAATAGATAGAGGGCTGTTTGTGTAGGTGGACTCGGCTTGACAGTCATAATACTATTCTCCTAGTATTGTGAACTACAGCTGAAAAGAATCCATAAGAAGCAATAATAAGATTAATTTTAAATAATAAAAATGAATAATTAAGAATAATAACTTTAAAATTACTTTAACTGGAAACTTTTTGCTGATTATTTGTTTATTTGATGCCAGGTCAAGTGATCACTTACTTAGAGAGAGATGTGGCTTTCCTAGTGGGTCTACTAACCTGTTTCTTAGAAAACAGACAGTACAATATTGTACTCATTTAGCAACAGCATGTGAAGTACAATATTCTCAGTTCATTAACTTGAGAGAGAATTGAATAATCTTAAAAGAGAACACTGCAGAATAAAAATTGGTAGGTCAGAAATATTAACATCACATTTATTTTGAAAACTTAAAGCCTCCATTGACATCCCATTCCAATACTTTAAGCTTTTACACTGTTACAAACTAGACAGTGATTTATTGAAATTTGCAGCATAATTGATTTTCTGTGCATCCCTTATATTGTGTGCATTTATACTTCTGAGACTTACACATTTTGTATTGAGCATTTCACATCAGAAAAATACTATTTGACATGCAATACTTGTTTTCTTTCCCATTAGCTATTTGTAGGTTTTATCACAGATGGAGGGAAATACTCTCCAAATAAACTGCCTAGCCTTTGCAAACTGCTTTAGTAAATCACATCAAAATTAATTAAATTTTCTCAGCTAGAAAATACTTCCCTTTTGTTAAAAGAAACAAAGTTTGACAAAAGAGATTAAGTGCTACCCCTAGGAATTGCCAGAGATAATGTTTGTTTCTTCTGATTAGTTTTTGTCAGTCAGCAAATCTCATGATCTGTCTTGCAAGGAAACCTAAATCAAGGAAGTCTAACATAGCATTAGGTTATATATATATGTATGTAAGTGTATGTTGCGTGTTGCAAAGTAGAGAACTAAGCACCACCCTCCTGACCATTTTGGGGGAACTGTGCAATTTTAAAATCAAATATGGGAGAAATGAAAAATGATGCTTTTTATTTTGTTAAAATATAAAATATGCCAATCTTAATGCCTTTTTATTGTATGATTCATTAAGTGCTGTATGAGCAATGTTTTGACGAATGCTTTTGCCTTCTACATGGTGGCCATTCCTTTAAGTTAGGTAAGAGAGAACAATAATTAGGACTTCTGTTTCAGTGCCTGTATTTTATGGGCCTGGAATAATTTAATTTAAATTAATCTTCTCTCTCCTATTAACAATTCCACATGTAAGCTAAATTCCATTCTTAACAGCCTGCTGCATCTTTTAGGCAATTTCAATTTACAAGTCCTAATAAAAAATATTGCAAGGATAATTATCTGAGATTTTCCATACTCGAACAACACATCAAGTTAAAAATATTCTACTGTTGATTTTTTATTTAATAATGTTTGAAGTAAACCAGGCAATTCTAGAATTGTTTGTGCTCAGTAGGTTTTACAGCAACTGTTTACTCAGTGTAGGAATAAGTTTGAAAGACTGTGTTTTGTTAAACTAATGTAAACACAAAAATGTAAAATATTTGCAAATACAATTTAACCTGCTAAAGAAACTTTTTAAAATTTGCTCTTTTTCAACCCTGTTATCAAAAATTAACGTTGTTGTTCCTCAAGTTGTTGTAAGTACAAGTACAAGTTTGTTTCTAAAAGCAGATGTGTTTTGGAGGAGATTGCATAGTGCATATCTAGGGTTGAATGATGCATATGACAAGGTACTTGTGGGCAGGCAGCAGAGTTACTGAGCTCAGTTAAGTGGAGTAGAGGAGCTGAAACCCTCTTGAACTGCAGAGGTTAAAAAGAGGTCAGGCACTGAAGTTCTTGGATCTGTACCCTTCCTCTTGTCCATCCTTCCCACTCCCTGCAGTGTTTTGGTTATACTTTATGGCTTCAAAATTCAAGAAGCTTGTCTCCTGGCCTGATTTGCTGCTGACATTTCATAAGAATAATTGGTTGTATGAGATAAAAAATACTTCAGAAATATGTATGAATTTTCATCCAAAGCTTCATGGCAGCTAGTTCTAGGCCTCTGTTCTCATTTATCCTAACCCTGAGATACGTTCCTGGTCTACATTCCTCTCTCTTCACAAAGTGTTTTAGTTCTGTGGTTTTTATCAGGGTGTGATGGTCCAATAGTGCCTGAGATCTGCTTGGTATAAAGAGAGTGGTTATGTATGTCAGTGTGATCAGTGCATGCGGTAAGGGAGCTCCACTGGGGGAAAACTGACACACAGCAGGTGTGCAAGGAATAAGCAAAAACATTTTACTATGATAAAGATCATGAAACTGAAGGCCCGAGAATGTCAACTATTTCTAAGACCCCTGATATTTTCATAAAGTGGTCTTATGGTACACGCTTGCCATCATCTGTTCAGCTGTGGAGGGTTTTAGGAAAAAAATGTTCATTCAATGCTGCTGTCATTGCTAGAGTTCCAAAACTTCATGTTATTACACAAAAGTCTGTAATCTTAAAAATCAATGAAAGGTGTCACTTGAAGTATTTTCTTCCAAAGCACTTGGTCTTTGTGCATTGTAGCACAATTGGGGTTGTTTGTGGGTGGGATCATACTTTGAACTTTGGTTTGAGGAGCACAGGATAGGGCTGAATGCTTGCAAGATGGTCACAGCTTCACACAGACAGAGGTGAGCTCCACCGAGGACTTTTGTTCTGATAATTCTGGTGCTTTTGGGAAGAGGAAAGGTC